CGAGCTGTGACAGCGGAACGATGCCTCCCCGCCATGTTTTCGAGCCATGTGCGCGCGGTCAGGAGATATGACGGGTGAGCGGGAGCAGCGGCCGCATGGATGGGTGTCGCAGAGGCTTGGTTCTGCATGATGCCCACGGACGAGTGACACGGTCAGCAAAACACGAGCCTCATCGTAAGAGTACTGGCATAATTGCCCCGCAAACACGAAATTGAAGTTCCGAACGACGAAGTCGATTTTCCTAAAGGGACGAAATTGGAGGTCTGAAGGTGTACTCGACGAAGTTGAAAGTTCTATGACGAACTCGAAGGTTCGAAAGTCGAAATTGAAAGTTCTATTAGAACGAACTTGAACTTCCTATCGACTTCGGACGAACTTGAAAGTTCTATGACGAAGTTGAAAGTTCTAATTGCGAATATGATCTTCCCGTTTCGGATTCGTACCTCCAACTTCGCGCGTCCCGACGAAATTGATGATTCCAAAGACGAACTAGATGTTTAAAAGGTGTAGCTCTGATTCACTAGCCCACTTGGGTTTTGGATAGAGTTCGTCACCGAAGGTCGGCAATCCACTGCACCACTTCGCTCCGCCAATATGATACAATAGTAGCAGACGTGTAGCTAGACTTCATTCGATAGTGGGCCTGTTTCACAAGGATACTTAATTTAAGGCGCCTTAAATATAGGAGTTACTTAAGTTTAAGGCGCAATTTGCTCCTATGAAACAGGCCCAGTATCTTGAAGTTGAGCTTCTCATCAAAGACGTACCCTGCTCTTATCGTAGAGAAGCACAGTGCGAGACAAGCATAGAAGGCGCACAACTGCGCTGTCTACTGGAGGTATCTCTTGTGATATGAATCGCTGAAGCTCAGGAGGACTGGTGATAAGATTGTTATTCGCAGTGTGGAAAAATCTAATATCACAAAACATGATACATCTAGTAATACGAAACAACAAATCGTCATCATCTGTCGTATTCAGCGAACTAGAGCTGATTATAAGTGGCCACACTCCTTGTAGACCGCATCATCACTCGCTTGGTTCGGCCTTCGGTAGACTCGACGGGAAGGCGTTTGTCCGTATGGAGCAATTTTGATATTTGGTGGTGCTTGGACTGGGCCGATGTGAGGTCTCGAGAGTAACTAGTCGTAACCGTTAACACAATCTATCAACTTTCAATCGAATGTGTTATGGTTGGGTTCGTTGGATCGATTGGGATTGGATTAGCAGTGAGTTACTATAATGGGGACACCTAAGCACTGACTGCTATGACAGCTTTTCATCCGTCACGCGCCACGAAATTGTTCTTTGATGGGAGGGCGAAAAATGTCCTACCCGCGAATTGAACTCGGGTGACTAGCATGCCGAACACGAACTGTACCGAACTTAACTAATCGTCTGTGTGAAACACTTTCTTGCTGAAACGGTGGCGGGTGAAAGTTGCTGCGAGGAGTAGTTATTTACATTCACAGTTGTTGACTCTCCACTGTGATCATGGCTGGTATCGGCCTGATGTACATGAACCCCGCCGTGTCTCGGCATTTGTTTAATCCTAGCAAACCTGTGACTAGAGGTAATACCAGTGGAAGGAGTAGGAGTAGGTATATATGTAATCGCTTTCCTCAGCTGCTGAGCTCAGAAGAGTTTCCTATACAGCGTTGAAGTAGGAATATATGTAATCGCTTTCCTCAGCTGAGCTCAGAAGAGTTTCCTATACAGTGTTGGAGTAGGAAAATATGTTCGCTTTCCACAGCTGCTGAGCTCAGAGGAGTTTCCTATACAGTGTTGAAGTGGAATATATGTAATCGCTTTCCTCAGCTGCTGAGCTCAGGGGTTCACATACGAATTCGGGTAGAAGTGTCTAGAAACCAACAATAATTTCCTCCCAGAATTTTCTTAGTGTCACTAACACATGTAGTTGACCATGTGCATATTTTTCCCTACATCGAATTCACTGTTAAAGTTGCAGACACACTGAAATGCAAATCCAATTCGAGTGAAGTTTTCAAGTAGTAAACTGATCGAGAATTTCAGAATAAACTCTACCACTAAGAAAAAAATCCAAAATATATTTTTTCACGTACCACAATTTCGTTTTCGAAGAATTTTCCGACAAAATTTTCGTTTTTTCTTAGGCAAAAAACCCGACCAAGCTTTACGGATAGAACTCACTCTTCGTAACGAGGCGACAGGGTTCACCGCTACGTACAAGGTTAGCGACGCTAAGGATCTTCGGGCAGTTTTCAGAATTTTCTGCAAGGCTCAAGCTCCCGAAAGTAGGAAATCGGGGAAGGGGGGTGGGGGGGGGAATTTAACTAGAGTGTATCGATTCTGTACGGAAATGTTATACAACGTAGCACTGCCGATTATGCAAGATTAAATTCATCGAATTTTCTATGACTAAATTCTGAGTACGGAATTTCGTAGATTAGGGAGTTTATTCTGAATAGGAAAAAGTGGTGATTAGTATTTTCTATTTGGTCTTGGATTTGAATCTTGTTCACCTTTATTACTGCGTCCACACTATGTGAGGTTATAGTACAATCACGGGGGTGATTAATGTGCATCTGTCATCTACGGTGATAAATGACAAACTCATATCGATTAGTGCCAACTACATTTTTGCGTTTTTTTCTTCACATTTTTTTTACATTTATCGATAGAGTTTTTGGGAAGATCCCACTTTTATTAAACGCATCGCGAATTGTGATTAGAACATGGCAATGTGGTGGGCCTCTTCTGGGCCTACTTTGTATCTTTGGGAGTGGACCTCAAGATATTTTCGGTTGTTATCAGATCCAGCATTTGGACGATATGCATTCTATTATGGAGATAAAATAGTGACGGAAGACAACTGTCCCTACGATCTCGACATGAACGACGGTGATGTTATTGATGCAGTTCCTAGAATGTAATGCTGGGCGAGCTATCTAGGAAAATATATTTTTTCTCGGGGGGCTCGGTTTTGAATTTTCGATTCCCAATAGGAATATTTTCTCTTATTGCTGTCAAACTGTGGGGGGGACCATCTCTGTTGAAGCTACAAAAATGGGAAAAAAGGGAAAAATACAAAAAAAATAATTAATAAAAAATACAAAAAATGTAAATTGGTTTCTCATCGAATGAAGTGAGATTTTTACCCAAGAAAACGAAATTTTTTTCGATAGGGGGGCGCATCTTCAATGTGAATGTGATCACATTTTAGGAATATTTTCACCATTGTTATGAAATTTTTGTGAGCGAAATTAGTTTCTCATCGACAGCTCGTGGATTCGATCCCTTGTTGGTTCAGGTTTGCAGAAATGGTATGAATAACGCAAAGAATTGTCTCCTATTATACGATTGCATTCACAAGTCAGTTTCTAGCTGTACAGTAGTATCTGTGGTTGTCGAGTTGGACCTATTTTGTATCTTCTATGGTGGAACCTAAGATATTCCATCATATATAGATGTACTGATGCATCCGATTCTTCGACCTCGACGATGTCGTTTCGTTTCGACGCTGCGATGGTACTCTTCTCGAAAGAATGAGTTCGATGGTAGTAGTCGGAGGAGGGGAATGCTGCTTTTACTTTGTGGGAATATATTATTTTGTGTTGAAGTTGAATTTAGGTTGTAGAGTATAAATGAAATCGATTGAGTTTTCTCTGTGAATAGTACTTTCTAGTGAAGTCGATTGAGATTTGTATTTGATTGAATTTTTTACCCAGTTTTCTTTCTCTTTTTTCCCCGTTTTTCTGGTTTTTTCGATTTTTTCCCATTTTTTTCTTTTTTTTCCCGTTTTCCCGTTTTTTTCCACTTTTTTTCCCCATTTTTCCGTTTTTCCCGTAGGTTCCCATGATTGGCGTGATAACCCGGATGTGAATGCAACAGTACCTTATGAGTACAAGTCGGCATGGGAGTTGAAACAAGATGTGTGGAAGAGAGAACAGAGGTCTAAAATTATTGATAGAAAAATGGGAAAAAATATGGGAAAAGTAGTAGTAGAGGGAAGACGGTTTTATGGTATCACATGTTCGACGATTATTATTACTCTCTCATGTGATGTAGAGTTGTTGAGATAGATTTCCGCTTGGAGTTTCACCACCCCTAGTGATATGAAAAACACATTTCACGACTACTGCATATCACCGCGAATATCGCGTTTTTCACCGAGTATTACGCCACTTCGCGTAAAACGGGTTGTGAAACTCCAATTTTGAAGTTCCATGAATTTATACGTGTTGGAGGTGAGTATTTGATTTTCATAAGGTTGTTCGTTGACTACTCGTGAGTGGTATTAAAAGTCGGGAATTTTCGTAGTTGTAAAATTGAGCAAATTTTGAGGCTAATTCGAATTTCTTTTCGGAAAAAAGTGGGAAATTTTAGTTGAAAACAAATAAAATTGGTAAAATTTTCACGGGTGGAGGTGGTGATGAATTGTATCATCTTTTCTTTAGTAGTGAATTTTTGATAATTTTATTTTAATTTTTCAATTTTTTTTAAATCTTTTTCCAATTTCTTTCATTGATTTTTATTTTTTTTATTTTTTTTGTTAGTCTTGATTTTTTTCATTTTTTTTTTAATTTTTTTCAACATTTTTTTTATTTTTTTCGTATTAGACTGTTGTGAGTGAAGGAGTAGAGGCGGAGATGGTAACGAGGGGAAGGGAGGCTGATCTTGGTGATGACGATACGCTGAAGGGCATTGCTGATCGAATACAAGGTGATGTGAAGATGGTGTGGTATGGGGCACAGACATAATCGTTTGTTCAAAAAAGTGCGTTAAAACGTTCACAATTATATCTCCAATAGGTCGAGAGAGCGATTGGAGGCATCCCTTGGCTGAGTTGGAAAATGGTGAACATGATGCAATGAGTGAGCGGAGCGAAGCGCTACCTCCGACGCTATATAAGGAGTCCACTACTGGTAATAGAAAGGGAATATATGCTCGCTCTCCTCAGCTGAGCTCAGAAGAGTTTATATACGAAGTCCTCCAAAAAATTTCAAAATCTTCAGATTGCCACCAACATATGTAGCTGAGCATATTCAGGAGGAAGTGTTTGCGATGTGCATAAACGTCTTTTATTTTGTGTAATTTATTCCGAAAAAATCGTTCGCATATTCAGGTCAAGTCATCTACCCCGCCACAGAAGAGGATATAGAGATACTCTCTGAAGCTCATCACCGATATATAGATCCACACGAATGTGAAGGTAAGTGAATCTTGCAATCTTGCTCTCACTTGCAATTCCTCAA